TCATGAATTTCACCTTTACTGGATCATTTCTGTCAGCATACAATGTATTTTAGTATCATATATGTTAAAAATGCCTCCATGGTCCCTTACCCTTCTCTAGCCATTATTTCATTTTTTACTTCCTTCTACAGCAAAATATCTTGAAAGTGTATCTATAGTCAGAGACTACAGTAATCCATTTCCTCAACTCTCGTTCTGTCTTCAGCTCATTCTATTTAGACTTCCATGCCTAGAGTTTCACAAGATTACTCTTGTTGAAGTTAGCCTGTCTTCTATATTGCTGTATCCAGTGGCAACTTTTGTGCCTTTGTCTTACTTGCTCTCTCAACAAACTCATTCATTTCTTTCTTTCTCTCTCTGACTCTCTTTCTTTTTGGTAGAGATGGGGATCTTGGTATATTGCCAGGCTGGTCTTGAACTCCTGGCCTCAAGTGACATTTTTTTTCTTTTTTTAAACACTTCGTTTTCGTGATTGTTGTGTTTCTTCTTTCATTCCTCAACCCTTTTAGGCTGTTCCTTTTCACTTTCCTTTACTGGCTTCTTCTCTGCATGTCTTCTAAGTGTTGGAGTACTTTTCCGTCTACTGCAATCTTGCCCTGGATTTCTTTATTTCATTCTTATACATTTTCCCTCTAGGTGATCTCACTCAATCCCTGGCTTTAAATATCATCCGTAAATTATTGAATCTTATATCTCTTATTTCTAGCTCTAGAATTCTGGGCTCATGTATCCAAATGCTAACTTGATGTTTTCATATGAATGTCTAATAGCCATCACAAATTTAATGTGAACAATACAGAACTTTTGTTTATACTAGCATCCATTCAGTTCAAACCAAAAACCCAGAAGTACAGTCATGTTTTGCTTAACATGAGAGAGAAATGTGTCATTCTGAGAAATGTGTCATTAGGTAATTTCGTCCTGCGAATGACATAGAGTGTGTTACATAAACCTAGATGGTATAGCCTGCTACACACCTACGCTATATGATATAATGTATTGTTCCTGGGCTACAAGCCTGTACGGCATGCTACTGTAATGAATACTGTAGGCAATTCCGGCACATTGTTAAGTAATTGTGTATCTAAACATAGAAAAGGTAAAAATATGGTATTATAATCTTATGGAACCACCATGGTATACATGTCTATTGTTGACTGAAAAATTGGTATGTGGCATGTGACTGTAATTCTTTTCTCTCTTTTCCTTACTTCCTATACCAAATCTACCAGCAAATCCTTTTGGTTCCAACTTAAAAACTTATTCCAAATTCACTTTGCCTCATTACTGCCAACCTAATGCAAGCTATTATTTCTCACCTTAATTACTGCTATAGCTTTTATTTGTCTCTAGCTTCAGAATATATCCAGAATTCAATCACTTCTCACAACCACCTCTACTACTGTCTACCACTTTGTTCAAGCCACTGTCATATGAGCAAGATTAATGCCATTCAGACTTCTGTCCTTCTCCACCTAAAATTTATCCTCAACCTAACAGCTAGAGTACTGTTTGAAATATAAATTAGATCATATCACTCCTTTCTCAAACTCTTCTGACGGCATCTCATCTTCCTCGGAATCCTTACATTATCTTACAGGGTCTTACTTCTCCTGTTCCTCTGTTTCCCCTCAGATCTCATCTCCTACCACTCCTCACCCTTGCTCAATTCTTGACCAACATAATAGCCTTTTTCCTGTTCTTCTAGTGCCTTAAGTGTGTTTCTGGAATATCAGAACACTTGCACTTTGCTGTTCCTTCTTCCAAAGGAGCTCTCTATCCCTGGTTATCTTCCTCAATTCTCTGTTCAAATGTCATTTTTCAGGTAAGACTTCCCTCTGCATTTTGTGTAAAATAGCTACTTACCCTCCCCTCAGCTCTCCATATCCTCCTCTACCTTGTTTATGTTCCTCTGTACCTGTTATTACCATCTGACATATTGTTATTTTTTTGTGTTTGTGTATTAGTTGTCTGTTCTGCAACTAGAATATATGGCACATGAAGGAACAAACTTTGTTTTATGGTTGTGTCCCCAGTGTCTTAAACAGCTTCTGAAACATATAGGCTCTAGAGGTGTAGTGTGTGTTATATCAATGACTACCTTCCTAATTGATTCTCCCTAGTTTCATTCTTGCTTCCTTTTCAATCCCTTCTCTCCAGAAGGCTGTGCGATGTTTTTAAAACCTAAACCAAATCTTTCTTGGATAAAATCTTCAAAGTCTCCTCAAAACATTTAGAATGAAATAAGATTTCTTATCTAGGATTACAAAATCCCACCCAGTCTGGCCCTGCCTGAGCGGCCTCATCTAATACCCCTCTTGCTTGCCCACTGTGCTGTAGTGGGCAAAACAGCCCTGGGACCGTTGCACTCTCTGTTGCTCTGTTGCTCTGTTGCTCTATGTTTTCTCTCCTTTTCTTTTTATGAATGGTTTCTCTGCAACAGTCTAATGTTAGCTTAAAATGCTGCATTTTCAGAGGTGTCTTATGGGCCAGTACATCAACGAGATTTAATTCTCTGCATAGCACTTGTCACTATCAGATATATTTCTGGCTCATCTATCTATTTATTGCCTGTTTCTATAACTCGTTTGCAAGTTTAAGTAAAATGAGACAATTTTTAGAGAAGTTCTTAAGGGTTTATTCTTTTTCCACCTATTTAATCTTTAAAATATGGTCTTTGTGCCACATTACATATGACCTTTCTTATTGATTTTGTAGTCTGAATC